AACTGAGAAGTTAGAAATTGAGCTCCAAAATTTATTATGGAAACTTAAAATGTTGAAGAAAATTATAATTAAACTGCCCAATTAATAAGCTTAGTGCTTGTTCGAGCCCCTTTATAAGCAAATAATATATTTTGAAATAGTATATTAATGTCGAATGTATGATTAAAAAATATGAAAAAGTTTTGAATTTTCGTGTAATGTTCTTTTATTGAATAATGTGTGGTTGAAAAGAAGAAAAAAAAATGTATTTTAAAAATAATGTAAATGAAACAAGCTTTCAATAGAAATTTGCTTATTAAAATGCCAAATTCATGGAATATCAATGCATCGGGTAAAGAATCTGATAGTCCTTGAACTATACTCTTGGCTTGTAGAAGGTCGAAACTTTTGAAAAGTAAATTTTTAGCCATCGAAAACTTAACAGTGTGTGTTACGTTGTCAAGATTATGTGGTAGGATAATAAACCTTGTTCGTCTATGAGTCTTGACTTAAAACACTTCGCATGCAAAAGGTTAAACTTAATAATATCTTTCTTAGTCCTTCCACTTAACAATTTGTACCTGTTAATCCTCCCAAAACCTAATGGACTTCCTATATGGACCACGGAAAGATTAAGCCCCATGTTTGTCCACCATTCTTTAAAATTTTTTCCGTTAAACCTTTTTTTCAACCATACATTCCTACAATAAAATATTTTGCAACATTCTCAAAAAAATCACTATTCCAAAATTTATTTTTCTCAAAAGAACTCTTTTTTAATGAATATCAAACAGGGCCTAATGGCATACTTGCCACATGTTAGTATTACAATTTAGTCACCAACAATGTTAACATCTGACAAAAAATGAAAAATAAAAACAATTTTGAGTTTGGATGATTCATACTCTCCAATCCCCAAATTTCTCAAACCCATGATTATTAGATTGAATGTCAATAAAAAAGTTATGGCCCGTTTATTTTGAAAACAAATGGAGCAAAATTTTGTGCAAATTCTGATTCATTTGTATTCAAAATAGACGAAATTTATTTATAATGATCGGTTTTTTTTTTTTTTAACCTCGTAAACTACTGTTCTGGTCTTGGCCTTTGTTCACACTGTCACATCATATGGGATCATGGTTCATTTACTTCTTCCTTTATTGATTCATGTGCTTAACGCAGGGAAGTCGTCGACGATCCTTATTTCTTGCTGTCTAGTCTCCCTTTCTTCGCTTGTGAAGAAGCTTGGCTAGTTCTTTTTTTTCGGACATTCTGTTCATCCTTTTTTTCCTTTATAAGGTGAGCTTCAATTGGTAGTTTTGTAGATTTGAGTTTTTTTCCCAACAAATTCAAATCATTTTCGCTTTTCAACTCTTCGGTTCAGTTTTAACCTTTTGAAGGATTTGATGCAACACTATTTTCTGACGTGTCTGTCAAATAATCTTTTCGTTACTCAATTGAAATAAATTAAAGCTTATTAACTTAATTAAGATTTTGGTGAAAAATCAATGACCATGGATGACATTTATCCACCATTATTTTATTAGGAAAATGTATAATGAATTAAATCTAGCACTTTGCACCACATTCAATACCCCTTACGAAATATTCCTTGAGTCCAGAAAGATAAAAATGATATTTACTAAACTCAATAATATGTTTTTTTTTTTTTTTTAATATCCTTAAACCAGAAGGGTAAAAAGAGAAGTATATATATTTACTTTTACTTTAGAAATGAAATTGGTTATGATCAATGTTTATAAAATCGGATTGAACTAATAGGTTCCACCGATAAAATGGAGAACCAGACCAAAATCAGTTAATTAATAATCGGTCAAATAACTGGAAAACCTATCAATTAAACCGAAAATCAGGAGTTACCGTTTTTGGACCAGTTTCCAAAACATTTTTAAAAAAAAATTATTATATAATAAATAAGGCCACCTTAGAGATGGAAACCCATTTGCCCACTTTTTTACTTATGGAGCTCTTTTATAGCCATTTCTTGAATCCCACAATTGATAAACTTCTAATTTGGGATTGACAAAATTTAATAACACACACTTCCAATACACTTTCAATGTGGGATTGACAAATTTCAATAAAGCACACTTTTTCAATATTATTTAGGCCACATAGTGCATGACTACAAAATTAAATTACTCAATTTCTATAGATTGCTAAATATTTTTTTTAATCTTATAAATTATTTAGTAACACTGAAATAAGTTTTTAAGTGATCTAAAAAATTAAAAACTATTAAAATTTATATTAAAAACATACATTTGACATATTTGTATTTATTTCAAATTGATGGTGTAAAAATCTAATTCCATATTGTTGTGAAAATAAAATTTAAATGTTTATTTTTCACCTTCGATTTGACCCCATGTTCGACCTTAGCTAAACCTTTTTGACTCTCGACCCTTTCTCTTTACCCAGTTGATGCCTAGGCTGGGTTTTAAAACATTGGTTATGATAGTTATATTGATATCAGAATTTTATTTAATTGCACTAAAATTCTCAAATCTTTACTTGTTGTGGCGATTTCGTCCTTGCCTTTTTTGTTGCATTCGTATATTTAATCTTTCATTGATTAACATATTTAGTTATTTATGATTAACTATGGACATTTTTTTTTCAGAACCGATGAAACCAAACAAGAACTAGGTAGAACTAGCCAACTGGCTTCGGTTCCTCTATTAAATGGGTTAGTTTTGGGACATGCATTGAGAACCGGTCGGTTCGAATCTGACTCTTGATGTTGCCTTAATATAGTGAATTTGATTTTCCCGAATTTCTCCATTTGCTAGTGCATTGCACCAAGATACACCAGATATTTGAACATGTTTCTTTTTTGCTTTTATAGCAAAGCCTAATGGGTAATCAAAATTCAAATATAAATAATTTTATAAATACTTTAAAAGTTCATTACTTTAATAAAACCTCAGTAGGAAAAATTAAATTTTTAGCTCAATTATTTGTAAAAATTCAAATTTTTTGTTATTTCCAAAGTGACTGACCATCAAGATTCATGATCTTTTCCTTGAGAATTATTGAAGATAGATTAGGTTATAAATACTACATGTATTTATATATTGTTGTATGGTTTTTCTTAATAATTAATTTTAGATCCAAATTTTAAAGTTTATGATGATTTTTAATAGTTTGTCGTGCTTCCCATCTCTATCAATTAATCTTGAGCTTTGAAGTTGGATTTTTTACATTTTTTCTTTTTCTTTTTTTTAATTATTATTAGATTACAAGAATAACAAGTTATTTCATATTTTATTTTATCTATTTTAAATATGAAAAGTAGTTTCATACTTTTATTTTTATAAATTTTCAATATAAATATCGAATCGAGATCAAAATCAGTTGGTTCAGTTCCAATTTGATTTCATAGTTGGATATTGAACCATTAGTTTTATTTAAAAAATTCTCATTGATACTCAATTCGGTTCGATTTCTTTCGAAATTGAATCAAACTAGATTGCGCCCACTTCTATTTATGATATTTTAGTATTTACTATCCAAATATTTTATATAACGGGACATTGAAATGAGTTATTAATATTATGTTGAACCTTCATAATTGTATTTTTTCATATATAAGATACGGCAGCTAAATCCCTATTTGACACTCAATTTTTAAATTTATTTTCAACCACGTGTTTAATTGGATTTACGATTTTTATCAACGTTCCAATCGCACATTTTATCAACTTTTATCGAAATCTACTGAAATTTAATATTCAACTAAATAAACAAGGGCCAAGCATTTTTATGACATCCTATGAATTTTTTAGACGAAAATAGTAAATATGAATCAGACGTGCTAATAATAAAAGATTGACGATAAGAATGATAAAAGAGTTATAAACATTAGTATGATAACGAGCAAATATTGAGATTTTTAGTGCAAATGAAAAGCAATGTAACAACAAAAATAGTAGTGACAATAACTTATCGAGTTGGTTAAAGATAGGGATGGAAAAATTTTAGGGAAGCGGGGGTAAATAATAGCAGTTTGAATTAAAATATTTTCATTTATTGTCTCATTTAATTATTTATTTATTTTATTTGTTTTTAGCGATACTAGTTTTGACTATTATTTAAGTTTAAAAATAAAAACAACAATAGAAAATTTAGTGCAAGCTTGAAAATGCATGTGAGGGCTTAGCATGTAGACATCCCTAGGTATATAAAATAATTCAGATAATTCTAACCACAAACCATAATTTTTTATTTTTTGGCACCATATTTTAATTCTAAGTAAGGTCCCCTTGTTTTCATAGATTGTCACTTTTATGTCTTCAACTTCTTTTATTGCATTCTATTATTAACGTTCATTAATTAATACATATTGTTTTTATAGTGATTTTTGTCTAAAATGTCTGTCAGACGAGCATAAATTATGAAATTGCTTATTGCCTCTATATACTTTTTAAAAAATAAATTTTAAAAAAATAAATATAGAAGTGCACCAAAACATTTTTCGCTCATTTCAAAATAGAGTTAGTCTACATGTACGGAAATTTAAGTGTACAGATGTTGTACAGAATACACACATTAAGGAGGGTGGGTGATTTTTTTGAAAATAAAATATTCATGTGGGGTCCACCGTTTGTGAAACTCTGTACACAGTCTGTAAACTTAAAATTTTGTACACTCAAAATTTTTGTTCAAAATATATCAAGTATATTTTGACATAAATTATTATCAAGAGTAAGTTGGATAAGAATTCATAGAAAAAGTTAAAGATATAATTATTATAATAGTAAAACAAAGATTGACATAATTAAAATTAGTAAACAGAACTCGTGAATATAACCACCAAAAAATTAGTAGAGTTTTCTGCTAATTTTTGTGAATGACGTTAATGCATTTCCTCTACTAAAATAGAAAGTCGAAAGCCAGTCATTTTCTATTGCCGTAAGAGTCAATTATTGGAGAATCAAATCTAGACACACCCCCTATGAATACCTCTTTTTCGTTTATTTTGGACTATAATATACCAGTCTCTCTCTGGCGAAGAAGCAAGTTTCGGGTTCAACTCTCGAGTCGTAAGCCATGACGCTTGCAAATGTGACCATTTTCTGTCTTGTCGTTGGTTTCTTGATTTCTCATATGATTGCTTATTTTATATATATAATATATATGTTAGGTTCACTTCTCATGCAAAAAAACCGAAGTTCCACAAGCAGAGAGGTACTTCTCCTGATCCCTGAGTATCTCAATCCTCTTTTCTTGAATTGGATTGTATTACTATTACAAGATTCTGATTGCCTCTGATTTCTTGTTAATATTTAGAAATGACTGTACTATTGGGCTTCTCCATTTTTACCCATTTCATAATTATAGTAGTCTGTTCTTATGCCTACTGTTATTAGAAAATCTGTACTGAGGATCACAATCGTTACAATATTCATAAGGCCCTATTCTAAGGTCCAACTTATCATAGCATTTTCATATAGATGGTCAGTGATAACGTCTCTCGGCTTAACGTAGGGTGTATAAACTTGTAATAATTAAACTCATTAATCTACTGTGAGAGTCTAAAGATTGTGAAGTTACCATTCTGCAATTTTTGTAGTTAATTTTTGTGGTTTTAATTGCAGGTACACATTGTGCAAGAAACCCACATTGGTGGAATAAGTGAGGTGATGAACTGTTGAACTGATGTCAACTTAATTAAAGGTTCCAAGATATAAATTTGTAAGAAGATTAAGTTTAATTTTACTGACCAAATTTTTGTTGGTAGGTGTCTGAACAATGGGTTTTGAGCCTTTAGTTTGGTTTTGCCGGCCAGTACAATATGGGATTTGGGAGCGTGAAACACACAGTGCTTTTGGTTCATATACACCTTGTGCCATTGAATCTGTTGTGGGCAATGTGTCTCTTTTGCTTATTCTGGGATTATGCTTATGTAGAATATGGCTCATCAAGATAAGCCCCAAAGTGCGGCGATTTTGCTTGAGAACAAATCGTTACAATTATATATTGGCCTTGTTAGCCAGTTATTGTGCTGCCGAGCCCTTGTTCAAATTGATTATGGGCATTTCAATCTTTAATATTGATGCAGAGACAGGTCTTGCTCCCTTTGAGGTGTGCTATCTAATCTTTTGATGGCTTATGCATTCAGATTCTCTTTGTATTACTATTTATGCTTAGGTCAAATATGCAATCTTCATATGATATTTGTGCTTTGTTTTTAGTTGTGTACTGGCTCGTTTAGAATGTCTGATTTTAGAAAGTAGTTGTAACTCTTTGCCTTCACTATCATTTCTTTCAATTAAGGAATAATAGACACCTGGCAAAAGTAATGAACATTTTATACTTCTCGAGTATAATATCTGACGACTTGATTCGTTTATGACCTTATATGTCCAATTTATCACTTTGGGAGGTCGAAGTATATATTTCATTGAGTAGAATGATTCGATCCGATCCTTGTTTTCTTGCCGTTTTGACATGGTCTGTCACAATTATCTTCAAGGACTTAACATAGAAATTAAGAAATTTACTTATAAATATTTATGATTACTTCCTGTAGTGAAATCATATGCTTTCATAGTCTGATGAGTAGCAGATCAAAACTAAGACTTGGAAGGGAGTATAATATCAATCTTTTGGATTTTATATTTACTTGGACCTGAATATACCTTCGGACATTCCAACCCCCTGTCTGCTCTCTCCTAGTTGGGAAATAAATTGGAACGTGGAGAAACTAGAAACCAAATGTCATCATTATAGAGATCTTTGGTTCTTGGAACCTCTGATGCTCGGACTCTTTGAAATAGTCTGAGTACCCATGTCAGACACGACACGACACGACATGACACGGGTATGGATATAAGATATGTGTCGGATTCTTCAAATTTCAACCGAACACATCATCATTTTTTGCTTCTTTTTCTTATTTCTTCTTCTTCTTTTCCTTTCCTTTTCTTTTGCCTTTTTGCTTTATGTAAACGTTGCGCCGCCTCCAAGGGGATAGAGAAAGGTGACGGCACTTGGTGTTCCCTTCTCCTATTTCTTTTATTTTTCTTTCCCTTTCCTTCTTCTTTTCCCCCCCTTTTTTCCCCTCTCTGTATTAGTAGTGTATGGTTTTATTGTAGAAAATGAAAATGAGTTCCATATAATGTTATTTAGTGCTCCACTAAATCCAAATTGTAATCAAGTCTTTCATTTTTCTATTTTATATAACATTTAATAATTAACTTCTCATAATTGAAAACTAAACTCCAAAATTCTATTTTTTTCGTCTAAACCTCTTATTCAATACTCATTTCCTTCTTAGTGAACAATTGATTTTGGTCTATTCAAAATAACATATTGGGTTAGTAAAAAAATTAAAACTTGAAAGACGTACCCATGTACTCGTGTCCAAAACTTAAGACTCTTTCTAACTATGTTCCCGTATATCTCATTTTAGAAAATAAAATATCCGACACTTAGGTACGTTTCCGTACCCAATAACCGTGCCCGAGTCCGAGTATCATAGCTTGGAACTATATCGGCACATTCAAGTAACAATTTTAATTTTTTGACAACTATTTGACGAGGTTGGTTGCAACTTTGTTTGTTAAATCAGTTAATTTTTCTTGTTCTACAGATGGTTAATCTGGGCATTGAAGCTCTTGCATGGGGCTCTATTGTTGTCATGCTTGCTGTTGAATCTAAAGCCTATGTCAAAGAACTGCGATGGTATGTCAGGTTCGGGATAATCTACGTTTTGGTGGGAGATACTGTAATTTTCGGTTTCATACTTCCGCTGAAAGATTTCTATGACAGGTTAGGTTTTTTCTATTTCAAATCACTAACTCAGTCATAGTCTCTGTTAGTGTACTGCAATCATCAGACTTTGATATAACTGATGTTTCGGGGTATCACATGTTATCTTCTTAATTTTTGTAGGTCTATCCTCTATTTGTACATCAGTTCAATTTTCTTCCAGGTAAAGCAGTATCTCTTTGTCTAGATCTGAAATCCATAACTTTTGTTTAGATAGGCATTATGAATGTAAACCTCTATATTAATATGCGTACTGGAAATTGATATACTTTGATAGATGTATAAAATATAGCCAGACAATATTATTTTGCTTCAATAGGGAAATTATGAGTATGTGTTAACGTGAATATGTGGTCATGTAGAAGTGCATAGATACAAGACTTGGTCTGAATGAACATAACTAACAGCTAATGTTCGCCATATATGCTGAAATATGAGTAATTATGGCTATATGGAGCTTGTGATGCTCGGACTCTTCGAAATAGTCGGAGTACCCGTGTCGGACATGACATGACATTAGTATGGGTATAGGATATTTGTCGGTCTTCAAAGTTTCAATTGAAACTTCGTCGTATTTGCTTCTTCTTTCCTTTTTTCTTTTTCTTTTCTTCTTTTCTGTTTCCGCTCTCTATACACCTAACGTCACCACCAAGAAGATAGAGAAAGGTAGCGGCGCTAAATTTTCCCTTCTTTTTCTTCTTCTTTCTTTTCTCTTTCCATTTTCTTCTTTTTTTTCCTTCTTTTTTTCTCTGTATCAGTGGTTTAGGATTTTGTTGATATAAAATGAAAATGGGTTCCATATAGTGCTACTTAGTTCGCCGCTAAGTCCAAATTGCAATCAAGTCCATTATTTGCTATTTTATCTGACATTTAGTAATGTCTATAATTGAAAACTTAACTCCAAAATTTTATTTTATTCGTCTTAACTCCTTATTCAATATCCATTCATTCTTTGTAAATAATTGATTTTGGTCTATTCAAATGACATCTTGGATTAGTAAAAAAATTGAAGTTTGAAAGACGTATTCACGTACCCTTATCCGAAATTTGGACTCTTTTTTATCCATTTTCACGTATCCTATATTTTAAAAAATAAAAGATCCGACACTTAGATACGTACTTGATACCCGTACCCGAGTCCGAGCATCATAGTATGGAGCAAGATGCCAAGTTTTTTATTGTTGAACACAAGATGCCCAGATCTTGGTTTAACATAAAAGTAGTGACTCCAAAAACTGTTGCATAACCATCTTTATCCACGAGTTGCATGTCTGAAAAATTGGTCAAATGCAGCTTCTGTTTGGAGCCCTTCTTCTTTTTTATGTTCCTCATTTGGATCCTTATCCGGGCTACATGCTGCTTTCAACCGAGTCTCTTGATGGAAGCAAAGATAAAAAACCTCTAGGAGATCATGTTTGTCCAGAGAGATACGCCAATATATTTTCCAGTAAGTAGATTTTATAATTTCTGTCATTTTCTATTGAGAATATATAAATCTGGTAAAGATCTATCTCTTGTTTATTGCATAGTAAAGAACTTGCAAGATATTGCTACATCTTTAATGGAAACTAATGTTACAGTCAGATGAATATTTCTACTGTTGTAACCTAATATAAAATCAAAACAACATAGTGTGTAATGCCACTGCTACTCTTTTTGATAACTCGGTGCCTTTTCCCTGTGATAGGGATTTACTTTGGATGGATGACTCCCCTTATGCGTCAAGGCTACAAAAGACCCATTACTGAAAAGGATGTCTGGAAGTTGGACTCCTGGGATCAGACCGAGACATTAAGTAGAAAGTTTGTATTTGGTCTTTTCTTTTTCAGTTCATTTGTACATATTTTGAAATTTCAATGTTTTATGACATTACATTTGGTGTGGATGTTTTAGATTCCGGAATTCTTGGGCGGAAGAAGCTCAAAGATCAAAGCCTTGGCTTTTACGTGCTTTAAATAGTTCCCTTGGAGGCAGGTATAGATTTATTCTTTTTTGAGCTTAAGAAACAACTGAATGATATTTTTAGAATGCTGCTCCATCATGTAGTTGGCGATTTCCATTCTGTGACTTCTTCGTTTTTCTTTTGCAGGTTCTGGTTCGGAGGCTTCTTCAAAGTATGAGTAGTTTCCAGAACTTCTCATTAGTGTCAACTATTTGAATAAGCAATGAGCTATTTTTTCCATGGAATTTTTTAATACTGTTTAGATAAATCTGAAATTTCCTATATATCCATATTTAGGCAATCAATTTTGTCTATGGACTATGTTCATAATTAGTTTAATTTTGCACTGTGAATATGTGGGTTAGTCAGGTTTTGGTGCGCCGTTAGTTGAGTTGTGTTCGGTAATGGTTTTTCATTCGTTACTTTAAATTTGTATAGACTAGGTTTTAAGAAATGACTAAGTAGTGCCCTACTTTAAATACACTATTCGTCTCAGTATGCTTCAAGCGCATTGCTATTAATGGCATAGTTTTGTTTTGTATAGAAGTTAGAAATTCAGCATGGAGACATGGTTTCTTTGAATGAAAAAAAAAAAAAAAAAAAAAAAGAAAAGAAAAGAAAAGAAAAAAAAATTGATAAAAACAATGGACTCTACATGACCAAAATAGTGACAGTTCTTTTATGCACCCCCATGCTTTCTTGCCCTTTGGGGGTCTTTTAAATTATTATTGGAACTTACATAAATTATTTCGGTTCACCTACAGATTGGAAATGACCTTTCCCAGCTTGCAGGACCCGTTTTATTGAACCATCTTTTACAGGTATTTCTAATCTTGAAATGCTTTACTGGAGTGAAGCATCCCATGTTGTATTGCAACTCTATTTCAGATATGATCTATAAATTAATTTTTTTGCAGCCGAAGTTCTATATGCTTTATGCCATACATCAAATTTTTCTTATGGCAATTTTTAGTCAGAAATCTACCCGCCGAATTTGCTGCTGCATAAAATCTGAATGATGTGGGTGGAAAAGAGACAGACGAGATAAAAAATCAAATATTGGACTTCTAATGCATCCATCACATGTGCAATCCCCATTTATATTGTTTTCTTGTATTCTTATGGCCTATTCATGGAATATTGATATAGAGCTTTCTCATCTGCCCTTTTTACTAGCATAAAGTTAACTAATTCTAACTTGGTGTATAACCTATAACAGGAGTGATGTGATCTGTGTTCTTCTTTTAAACTGCTTGTTTCTTTTTATCTCTTTCTGTAGATAATCTATTGCTATATTGTTGTATTTCTTTTCTAATTAACATAATATTGCTTGCAGTCTCTGGAATGCAGCGATCCAGCTTGGTTTGGTTATGTCTATGCATTTTCAATTTTTGTTGCAGTGGTATGGTTCGAGGCATAGCATACTTCTTTTTCTTTTACACAGAAAAAGTGTTTATTAAATTATTTTCCCTTCCCTGGGATTACTAGGGGATTAGATAAGTCGAGTTCAGCAAAGGGTTGTCTTGAAATTTGAACGAGCTTAGGAATTCTTGCATAAATGAAGCTGAACTCAAGTGGTGATTTTTCTAAATAATTATTAAGTTACTGAACTGAATTCAATTCAAGCTTGATAGATTGATTAATGCTAAAATGTGTTCAAGCTTGAGAATTGTTTTGAGAGAATTGCAGAAATACCATTAGAAAGGAACTATCTATATCACGTATTAAACACCTATGAGAAAAGACATATTTGTAACAACTTTTATATAATTTCTTCCTGGTATATTGTTTTCTATGATGTGAGAAATCTAAATTTTTTTTGAAAACAACTATTAATAGATGATTCAAACATGTGCTTGTCTGAGCATTCTTCTATATGCTATTTAAAACCAAGGTCTGAATGTTGACCTGTTAGCAATTTCAGTTTCTGCTTGTATTTTTAATATCAAACTTTCTATCAGTCATTGGGAGTGCTTTGCGAGGCTCAGTACTTTCAGAATGTCATGCGTGTTGGTTTCAGGCTAAGATCAACTCTGGTAATTTCCCTAGTGGTGAATGATGATAGTCTACTTTTCTGCCTCTATGTTTACACTGTGACAAATTTAATTTTTTGTTACATTTAGGTGGCTGCTATATTTCGCAAGTCCTTGTGGCTAACACATGAGAGTCGCAAGCAGTTCCCTTCTGGAAAAATAACAAATATGATGACAACAGATGCTAATGCACTTCAGGTATACATGAGGGTAAACTTACTCTGCATTTAGTTGTACTATATTGAAATTGACAGACATAATGCCAAAATTGAAACAGAGATAAAACTGAAATTTTTAGTTTCTTTTATAAACTTATTGCTCTGAATGTCATCTGTGTCGTATTTAAACAATCACTGGTTTCATAGTATGATTTGAAGAACCATTACATTACATTGTACTGACCTTGTTCTGGCATCAATGGAGTGTGGACCTAAAAAGACTACATTTTTCTTGTTTCGTATGTTTTCTCTTCAGTTCAATGTTCACACAAATATTTTTCACCATGTTCATTTCAATACCATTTCATGCAAGTCTAGTTAAAATCTTCCTGACACACAACTAGATAGCATGTGTTTGGTTCTTATTTGTAAACTGTTTATAAACACTCAAGCCACTTTTATCCGCACATTTCAAGGAACCCACATGTACTACACATATATCCATCAGTCATTTATATCTATTTATAATTTAAACTATTTATAAATACTTCCTTACACATGCTTTTAAATGTAGATATAGTACTTATCTACCTTTGGAAAGCTCAAGTTTTAGTTCTTAAGATTAGCAAAGCAGCTATTAATTCAACAATTTTGTCCTTGAATTGCCTAGCAAATATGCCAACAACTACATGGTTTATGGTCAGCCCCATTCCGAATAATCATGGCCATGGTTCTTCTATACCAGCAATTGGGTGTGGCTTCACTTCTTGGTTCCATTATGTTAGTTCTCATGTTTCCAGTCCAAGTAAGTGAATTTTTTTTTTCTTTTTCTTGGCTCCTTATATATTTTTTGTTTCTGAGTTACTGGCATACACCTGGTAAATACTTGTTCTGCTTTTATGCTTTTTTCTCATTTTGCCTGTTTTATGGAATCTTTGAAACTGCTTGGTTAGAAGGCTAGAATCTATGCTGTTCTGTAGGTAATCATATTTTTATAACCAATGCTATGACAGTGTTAGTTTATCTTTTCAAACAGACACTTATTGTGAGCAAGATGCGGAAACTATCCAAGGAGGGATTGATATATACTGACAAGAGAGTTGGTTTGACGAATGAAATTTTGGCCGCTATGGATAGCGTAAAGTATCTATCAAATTTGCTAGATTATCCTATGGTTTAATTCACCTCATGAGTGGTTAATATTAATAATTCTGACTTTGTTCTCAATCAACAACAGATACTATGCATGGGAAAAAAGTTTCCAGTCAAAAGTGCAAAGTGTGAGGGATGATGAATTGTTGTGGTTCAAGAAAGCCCAGTTACTCTCAGCGGTATAACAAATTGTGATCATTGAGTTCCATTGCTCTAAAATAAATTAGTTAGTCAGGCAACAACTTATTGTGTGTATATTTCTTGTATGCCTTTACAGTGCAACAGTTTCATTCTAAACAGCATTCCAGTTATCGTAACAGTGGTTTCATTTGGGATGTTTTCATTCCTTGGTGGAGATTTGACACCTGCAAGAGCTTTTACATCTCTTTCTTTATTTGCTGTTCTACGGTTTCCCCTGAACTTGCTTCCCAACTTGATTACTCAGGTTCATTCTTTATTTCTTTCAGCTTACGGGTATATTTAAATTTTGGATGCCATTATTCATCCTGATTTGACATGTTCAGAAAAATTGTTTACCCTGAATATATTTAATATTACTTTATAAACATACTCTACTTTCATCTAGAGCTGGGCACCGTTTTGGTTCAGGTTCAGCAGGAAAAGACATAACTGGAAACAATGCAGTTCTTTTCATGGGAAACCTTTTTATTTTCTTTAAAGAAAAAACCAGACTGGAGCAAAGCAAACTGGAACTGGTTGTATTCAGTCCAGTCTGGTTTAATGTGGTCGGCGAACCCATCTGGGCCTAATTAAAGGGTTAAATAGTATGTACAGGTGCATCATAATAATCTTAATTCTCATCGCTTATAGCTTGTCAATGCTTGCAGGTTGTGAATGCAAATGTATCGTTACAACGGTTGGAAGAATTGTTACTTTCTGAAGAGAGAATTCTTCTACCTAATCCACCTCTTGAACCAAGACTTCCAGCCATATCAATCAGGGGCGGAAATTTTTCATGGGATTCTAAGGTCCTCTTTTGTACATTTTTGCATGCCTGGGTATCAATTTCAAATAATTATTATTCAGTGTGAGAAGAATAAAATAGATTTTTGATGTGGAATGTGATAAAATAGATTTTTGATGTGGAATGTGTTCTTTTTTCCCTATAAATCCACTTGTGCTGGTGCAAGAGTTTTTAAGCTCCTAGCAATGCAGGGGGTATGGCTTCATCCCCTACCTGTAGATTAATAACCCATAAGTACATAGTGGGGGAGGCATGGCCTTACGTCTTAATTTTACAAACCATTCTGCTTCCTGGACATTTAACATAGATGTGGAGAGTTTGTTGTTCTGTTTGCACTATTTCTATTGTTTCATCTTCCCTTCCCCTTCCCCATCACTTGATGACTTAAAAGATATTCTTGAAATTGATATATTATGCACAGTTCAAAGTCTCTGAATTGCTCGTTTACAGGCTGCAAGGCCCACATTATCGAATATAAACCTGGATATCCCGGTTGGCAGCCTAATTGCAGTAGTAGGTGGTACTGGAGAAGGAAAAACATCCTTAATATCGGCAATGCTTGGTGAGCTGCCTCCTCTGAGAGATGCAACCGTTGTCATTAGAGGAACTGTTGCTTATGTTCCTCAAATTTCTTGGATTTTTAATGCAACGGTGAGCTTATGTGTCCATATTCTTTAAATATGCCCATTACTAAATTAGTTGTTAAAAGTTCACCTTCACAGTTCTGTCATTCATAATTTTAACACTCACAAGCATATGGAAACTCAATGATTTTAAACATTGTGAATTTTAGCAATTGATTTTTGATTGTGAATGTCTTACTCTCAAAGGCTGTCCACAGGTACGTGAAAACATATTATTTGGATCTTGCTTTGATGCAGAACGATATTGGAAAGTCATAGGTGTCACTGCATTACACCATGACCTTGAATTACTTCCTGTAAGAGTTGGAATGTCATATATTCATGTTCTACGCAATTGACTTTTACTACATTCTTTATTCTATCATATCTGTGACTAGACTTCTGGTTCAATTCCAGGGTCATGACCTAACTGAGATTGGTGAAAGGGGAGTTAATATTAGTGGAGGACAAAAGCAAAGGGTTTCCATAGCGAGGGCTGTGTACTCCGACTCTGATGTTTATATATTTGATGACCCACTAAGTGCTCTAGATGCTCATGTTGGCCAGCAGGTACTTACTGAATGTTAAAACTACTTATACCCTTATTCCATGATTAATAAAATATTTGATTACTTATCCAAAAAAAAAACTACTTATGCCCTTACAGTATTACCGAGAAGAAATTAAATTCATGTTGAAAGTAATTGTGCAAAGAAAGGTAGGATAGATACCTCCTGATAACTGATAGCCATTGTTGTTGGCCTTTAGCGTGTTTGGCTATATTGTTGTTATCAAACATGTTCTGATAGGGGCTTTAGTCTTTAAGTAAAACAGTACTTATTTCAAAAGTAACTCTTGGTTCTATGTCAAAGTAAGTAACTACTTATTTTCAACTTATTGACAAATAAAAATTTATAAATTTCAAAACTTACTTATTTTCTTTATATATGAACATTTTATGGTTAACTAAGCATGCTTCTTATATCCTGGGATAACATCTTTTACCGTATTTCTACGTTGGTTTTTGTAACTTCTGAGAGCTCAAATCTGTGGACTACGTGATAATAATAGTACGCGTATGTTTCTACAATTCTACTTCCTAGTTACACTTTTAAGCTATTTTTTAATGAATGGATATATCGTACATTGATGGGACATATTATAGGTAAAAATCCTAACCATTAACTTCCAGAAATTTACCTAATGAAAACTTATCTAAAGCCTACATCTATGTAGATGTTTTTTATGCTTAATAAATTTTGGTTTATGCTCAACCAAGAATTTGAACTTAGTTTTATATTATGTAGGAGAACTTTTGTATGCTTCATATTGCCTATTCCCCTATAATCCATTGTAAATATTTAGATTCTCGTCTGAATTTCCTACTATATATGTCCAGGTTTTTAACAATTGCATTAGAGAAGAATTGCAAGGAAAAACAAGAGTGCTTGTCACAAATCAGCTACATTTTCTACCTCAAGTTGATAGAATAATTCTGGTCTCTGAAGGTATGGTAAAAGAGGAGGGCACCTTTGAGGAGCTTTCAAAAAATGGTACGCTTTTTAAGGACCTAATGGAGAATATGGGGAAAATGGAAGACCATATACATGAAAATGGAGATGGGAAGAATCTTGCCATTGGACATTCACAATTTCCTTCTAATAGTGTGCTATATGATTTGCCAAGTGATGCAATCCTGACAAATAAAAGGAAAGAAGGCAAATCTGTTCTCATCAAGCAGGAAGAGAGAGAGACCGGCATTGTCAGTTGGAACGTTTTGATGAGGTCATAACCAAAATTATGTCTCAAATCTAATAATATAGGCCACCAATACTTCTCTGGAGTTGGGATACTGAGATGGGATACAAAATCTAGTGTCCACTTTCAATTACCATTGAACTTGTCCAAACTTTGATTCTATGACATTTTACAGAGATTGGTAGATCGTCCATGGACTATTTTGGTCATTTTAAACTAATCCTATATTTTTCATAGCATGACATATTAAATAGAATCCCCATGATACTGCATTGGATTCATGCTTTTGGTTTTCCGCTTTGTTCAGGTACACAAGTGCTTTAGGAGGCTCATGGGTTGTAATAATATTGTTTTTGTGTTACATATTGACTGAAGTTCTGCGAGTTTCAAGTAGCACATGGTTGAGTGTCTGGACGAAAAAGAGCACTTCAAGGAGTTATGGACCTGGTTTCTATATTCTGGTTTATGCAATTTTGTCCTCCGGGCAGGTATGCTTCCTGATGATTGCTGGCTTGAAAACCCCACATTACTGTAAATTGTTATTTCATTTGAAAATTTTATGTTAATATCCTTCGTAACTGTGAAACCTTGTCTGTCTTTCCTTTTTTAGTTTTTACCATTTTTACTTGATGAAAAGGATTGAGATCTTCTTTATTATTTTAGTTATGGAATTTTTTAAGATTTTTACTGGATGGAAGGTAAAGATAGTATTTGTACATATGTAAGATGTGTTATTATGTCCGATAGTTATGCTATAAACTTTCTACTGGCATGCCATGATTGTTAATTTTAGCTGTAGAGAGATATTCAGAGGGTCTGGAAAATTTCACTCTTTTAGTCCATACATGTAGGCTTCTGATTCTCTACATATATGTTTCTCTTCTGTTAATATTGTTGTTCTTTCATCTATAATAATATTTCATGATGTCTATTTTTCATTCATTTCCGTCTCATCTTAAGAGTCATATATGCAGGTGATAGTGACATTGGTAAACTCCTTTTGGTTGATCATGTCAAGCCTTAGTGCTGCAAAACGACTTCACGATTCAATGTTACATTCCATACTCAAAGCTCCAATGATATTTTTCCAAACCAATCCAACTGGACGAATCATCAATAGATTTTCCAAGGATCTTGGTGATGTTGACCGCAATGTTGCCAACCTTGTTAATGCGTTTCTAAGCCAAATGTGGCAGCTGCTTTCAACTTTTGTGCTCATAGGTCTCGTGAGCACTATATCTCTCTGGGGCATAATGCCCCTTCTCATCTTATTTCATGCAGCCTATCTCTATTATCAGGTTCTTCAAACTCTCTCTCTCTCTCTCTCTCTCTCTCTCTCTCTCTCTCTGTGCATGTGTTTGTCAGTACAAGTTTTTATTGCAGGATTTATGATTAGAATTTAGCTTTAAGAACAAAAACAAGTGATAGTATGGATTTTGAGCTGACAATATTCCATAAAGTAAAAGATTAGTGCATATGGATGTATGAAATACCTTTATAGCCAAGGAAAAAAGACAAGGGTTGTAATTAGAATTATGGTGTTTGACCTTGAGGAAACTGTTAATGATGTTGGTTAGAAAGAAAGTGAATATATGTAGTTCGAATAATGATAAATTCTTCAAGTTTCGGCACCCTAGAAAATTAGCCTACATGTTCGGTTTCTATGTGTGTCTAACATCTGTTCCTCATCCATGTATCTTCTAATTTTTCTCTTTAGCTGATTACCATTATGGAAGGCAAGCAGGGAATTGTTTTCATAGTTCCTTTTATCCATACATGTCCTGTTAAATGCAGAGATTAGCACGATTTTCTTTGGCTTAGTAATAACTCAATTGTTTTTGACATGATATGTTTCAATGTTTGATTGTTGATCATATACTCACAAACAAATCAATTACAGAGCACATCCCGTGAAGTAAAACGTCTGAATTCCATTACCATGTCTCCCGTATATGCCCAGTTTGGAGAAGCACTGAATGGTTTGTCGACAATTCGTGCGTATAAAGCATACGATAGGATGGCAAATGTTAATGGGAAATCTATGGACAATAATGTGAGGTTTACTTTAGCTAACATAAGTTCAAATCGCTGGCTTACCATAAGGCTGGAAACATTAGGAGGCATCATGATTTGGTTGATAGCAACGTTTGCTGTAATGCAAAATGAAAGAGCGGAAAATCAGGTTGCAATTGCATCTACCATGGGCCTGCTCCTAAGTTATTCATTGAATATCACAAATTTGCTAAGTAACGTCCTTAGACAAGCAAGCAGAGCAGAAAATAGTCTAAATGCTGTTGAACGTGTGGGCACGTACCTGGACTTACACTCTGAGGCTCCAGATGTCATTGAGGGCAGCCGTCCACCCCCGGGATGGCCTTTGTCTGGATTGATCAAATTTGAAGATGTTTTTATGCGTTACAGACCTGGACTTCCTCCTGTCCTGCGGGGCCTGTCCTTCACTATATCCCCAAGGCAGAAGATTGGCATAGTTGGACGAACTGGTGCAGGTAAATCTAGCATGCTTAATGCATTGTTCCGGATTGTGGAGCTTGAAAGAGGAAGAATTTTGGTTGATAATTGTGACATTGCGAAGTTTGGATTGACGGATCTACGTAAGGTTCTTGGTATCATACCACAATCTCCAGTTCTTTTCTCAGGTACATATGGCTTGTTATAATATCATATTTTTTATGTTTGTCAATTTTTTGTTCGTAGACATCCTGAATATAATTGCTTTAAGTGAAGTACTGTGAAATTATGTCCCGCAAAAGTGTTCAAAGAAAACTATGCTCAACAATGCTTTATGCGTTGTGTATATAGGAAGTGTTCGGTTTAATCTTGATCCTTTCTGTGAACACAATGATCCTGATCTCTGGGAGGCTTTGGAGAGGGCACATTTAAAGGATGTCATCAAAAGGAATGCCTTCGGTTTGGATGCTGAGGTAAAACAATAAATTCTCTTACGTCAACCAGTTTGATCAGGGGATTATAATTGTTATGTTATAAAATATGCCAGGATGATCCAAATAATTAGTTAGTTTGTCATTTCCACTTCTCGTATTTGGAAAAGTAAATGTAGCATAAAACTCAAAAGCTTTTGATTGCTGAATTTTTTTTTTCTTGGCTGTTTCAAGGTTTTAGAAGGAGGTGAGAACTTCAGTGTTGGACAGAGGCAGCTGTTAAGTCTAGCTCGAGCATTACTACGAAGATCAAAGATCCTCGTTCTTGATGAAGCAACAGCAGCTGTTGACTTTAGAACTGATGCTCTTATACAGAAAACCATTCGAGAAGAATTCAAATCTTGCACGATGCTGATCATTGCTCACCGAATAAATACTATCATCGACAGTGACCAGATTCTAGTTCTTGATGCTGGTCAGGTATGTCACCGTAACATTGTGGTTTACTTCCCTTCTCCACTTGAAATCTCTGTTTGGTTAACAAAGTTTGAATCCAAATGCTAGAATCAACAATCGAAAACTGATGAGAATTTAATATTTCTGTTTGTAAGTGTGAGTTCATAATCTTTCTTTTGCAGGTTGTTGAATATGATACTCCAGAAAAACTTCTTCAAAAGGAAGGAGGTGCTTTCTATAAAATGGTTCAGAGTACAGGGACTGCAAATGCTCAGTACTTGCGCAGTTTAGTATTAAGAAATATCGAAGAGAATAAGTTCAAAAATGGAGGGGGTATGCATATCAATGAGCAAATGAGATGGCGATTATCTTCGCAATGGAATGCCGCTACACAGTTTGCTCTTGCAGTCAATATTACTTCTTCAGTAAAGGACCTTCAAGTATTAGAGTTTGAAGAGGGGAACAATATCTTCAACAAAACAAAGGATGCAATAGTAACTTTGTCCGAAGTTTTGGAGGGTAGACATGACTGTGTGATCAACGAGACTCTACATCATGTCAATGTTCCAAGAGACAATTGGTGGTCAGCTCTCTACAGAGTCATTGAAGGTGATATTTAAATTTTCTACACGAATATCGTCTTGCATTTCTTCCATTCATAAATAAAGACTCGATGCAATGCTTCTTTTACTCCTCCAAACATCCTCAAATACTGGCTTCTTTTTCTGAAGTTATCTAGATATGGACTAGATTGAATTTAATCATATTTTCAAATTTTTGTGTTATATAGTCCAAGTAGAAGAGAACTTATTCTTGCTCTGAGCTTCTTCAACTCTAAGAACAGAGTGTGCTTTCTCGTAATTATTATAAAAACAGAAAGCACGTTTGTGAATTTCTTTAGCTGATCCATATTGGTCTCCTTTCAGGTCTTGCAGAGATGAGCAGATTGGCCCGGAATGGGTTCTACCGGCTAGAAGATGGTTATGAAGATTCATCAGAAACTTGGGATAATGTTGTAAGTAGCTGATATCTGCTCGAGAGACTTTAAGTCATTCCAACCAAGATTCATGATATTCAAGTCCTAAAACCAGATTCTGACAGTCAAGGATTTCCTAGGAAGGAAATAGTTAAGAGCCCGAAATAATTTGGCACTGCCAGCAGTTTGGCAACCTGTAGATGCACTGGACCGTCTCTCGGTTAGGGTAGAAGAAGTTGTGTCTGCCCTCGAAATTTACAACGTCATTCCATGCTTTTTGTACTTCAAATCTGGGCATCAAAAGTTAATGTCCTATTGTTGTAACGGATCTATGAGACAAATTGTCGTTTCCACAAGAACTATATTTTAAAACTTAATCTACTTTCTTTCTAACTACAATTCCATAGAAGCAAATAAAAATTTGTATGTTTTGAGTTTTAATTTAAATGCGTAATAGTACGTGGATGTGCACAAAGATTGGTTTAGAGATTAAATAATAAACAAATATAATCACCTTTACATTTTAAGTGAAGATTCATATCTAATGTAGTGTTCAGTCGAATTCACTTATTGATTCAATTTACCTATTTCGAGTTCTCATTGGGCCTATTTAACTAATTCAATTTCATATTTCTATGCGAATCAAGCTTAGTTAAACAAAATACTGGTTCTAGGAATTTACTTATGATCGCATTAATTAGTATAAGTATCTCTATACATTATACTAATTTACCAAATTTTATTATATAGTCTAAATCCTAAAATCCTAAACTCACCTCTTGACTGGTAAAAGATTCACAGAATTATCAAATTAGTGATCAAGTAATTCAATGTGTTACACTCATAATAAAATCAACACATAAACTAATAAAGAACAAGAATCTTAAATTGCCCTATCAAGAAATTTAGTTATTCATAATAAAGGAAGAAAAACAAATAACAATAGTGAAGTCCATCACCGGGTTTTGAATTTAGATGTGAAGGAGTGGATGAATCTTGTGCCAATTTCTTTTTCTCGTTCCAAATTTTGATCTCTAACCCTTGAATCATTATATTTTCTCCTCTTGAGTTTGATCTCTAACTCTCAATTTGTGTTCTTGTCTCTCAATGTGTGGAATCCGCTCAAAAGTGTGAAAAAAATTGTATTTATAGGTGCCTTCACGCTTGTGTCAAAAGTAGGATTTTCATAGACTTCAAAACAGGCCAAACTGCGCCCTAATTAGTATCAGAAGGTGGCGCCGCAATGCCGGAGGGATGGCGCCGCGACGCTAAGAGGCGTCGGGGTGCCAAGTCTCTGTTTCTTCCTCCTTTCGTGACTCCTCGCCGTCGCAACGCCACTCGTCCAATTATTTTGCTTTGCCTCTTTTGCCCCTTTATTCACAATTTGTTCTCAATCCATGTCAATAGCTTTATTAGATGAACTTTTTCGAATCTTTCACCATCTCAACATTCATATAAAACAACACTAATAAACACATTAAAAACGTTCAATACTCTTAAAATATAGCTTACAATCAAGTTAAAAATAACATAAACGCGTGAGTAAAACACACTCGTCAAATATCCCCAAACTTAAGAGTTTGCAAATCCTCGAACAAATACAAGAAAAAAGAAAATAACTAAGGACATAAACAGTGATTCATTCAAATGGCTTGCCTTTTGGGTAGGGATTGATAACATTAATGACAATCATGAATGGTTTCAAGATCGCAATGCAACAACTAACCTTCCACTTTTTCAATGCAAAACAATTTTGTGTGTGTATGTGTGTTGAAGAATCAAGTGCAATGTCGTACATTCACAAGTTGATTCACTTTCCAAGTCTCGGTGATCAATTATTTCACTTCTTCGCTTGTGAGATTCACACACCCCTAAACTTGTTTTCTTTTATTCTCTCACAATAGCATAATTCTAAAATTTAATCTTATCAATTTTTCACTCCGCTCTAATTTGGTTTAGTTCAACTAGTGACTTCAACAATTCATTCATATGAAGATTCTCCCAAGTTATAAATGTTTCAACAATCTAGTTTATACTAAGTGATTCAGACACACTAGTTATCTAGGCCCTCAAGATCAGTTCTTTTACGCACTTGTATACAATTTTTTCGGCTATCACTTCACCCTTTTGTCCTCTTCTCGGCCCTTACAGCGAGTGCCGAGTCAGTATCTCCTCGATTTTTGGATACCAATTGGTACCATGTTTCAAGATACCCCTACGAACTTAATAACTCGGGTAAAAAAGGTGCAGACTTGAGGCATAGATGAATAAGCAATTCTTCTTTTCTATAAAATAGAAGGAAAATTTATAGGGATTAGATTCCTAGCATTTGATCATTACCAATCTTATACTAGAAAGTCAAAGAAACTCCACACGATCTTTTTACATGCATGGAATTACCACGGTCTTAAATTATTTCTTTCATCGGTTATAACGCCTCAAATTATTATGTATATGGTTAAGGAAATTTTATGAATCATAGGTTAAGAGGTCCTATGCATATGAACCCTCTTGTTCTTGTACAACGCTAAACTTAATAATCGTGCATAAAAATTGTATTGCTTGAAATAGATCGATAAAAACTCAATTTAAGCATATAAATCCTCCACAGTCCACAAACTAATACATGCTCTTAAATATATTCATCATAGCTGACAAAACCATCTAACTCACACAAGCATGCAAATTTTTTTTTTTAATAAATTCACACGAAATTCAACAATATCACCCAATCACACAAACAAAACTACTAAACAAAAGACAATAGCAATTAATCTAAATGATTCACCCCCCAAACTTAAAACATACATTGTCCCCATTGTGGAAATAAATTCAAAGGAGGTATAAACTTCCCCAAAATCACCAGTTGGTGTCATCACCATTGCCTTAGTGAGATGGATCCTGGTTAGCTGGATAATTACATTGTTGGCATGTACTTGAGAATCTTCCTACAAACAACACACCAATGAATGTTATAACTATAAATTAAACAATCCTAAAACTAAAAACTAAGTAGTAATAATAAAGAAAATGATAGAGCTTGAGTTGTTTTCCAAGAAACGCTTCTCTAAAGTCATTAGCTTGACTTGTTGTCACGATTGATTATGGTGGCTCGAACCAAATTATGTCATACTTGCACGTTGTACAATTCTCATTTATGCACCCTTTCTTTGCTCTCTAGTTTCTGATATTTTCATTTGCATCCCTACTAAGAAATCCACCAAAATTTGATTTTTTCCTGATAGCCTCATTGATCAAGTGACTCTTCTTCATCAACTCTACAACAACTTCTAATGTTGGGAGGTTGCTCATATTGGGTGTAAATATTGAATATTTTTTACTTATCTTCCATCAATATTAGCTTACCCTTCTCCATGTTAATCAGGGTTCATCCCGTTGCTAGGAATGACCAATTGAATATAACTGGGATGTCTCAATCTTCTAATATGTCCAAAACAATGAAGTCCACAAGAAATATGAAATTTTCTACATTTATGAGTACATCCCCAACCTTGCCACGTGACCTTGAAATTATTTTATCAGCTAGTTGTAGCGTTATTGATGTTGATTTGACTTTACCCAGTCCCAATTTCCTGTAAATGGAATATGACATTAGATTTATACTAGCAACTATGTCACACAATGCATTAATAGAACAGAAATTTCCTTTTGAAATTGATAAAGTAAAACTCCTTGGATCTCTCAATTTGGGAGGTAGTTTGTTCTGCACTCTTGCACTACATTCCTCAGTTAATGCCACAGTTTGAAACTTCCAAAGCTTTCTTTTCTGTCAACATCTCTTTAAAAAATTTCGCGTAGCTTGAAATTTGTAATACTACATCAACCAATGGAAGATTGATCTAGAGCTTCTTTAGAGCACCGAGAAAATTTTCATAATTAGTATCTTGTTTATTCTTCTTGAGTCTTTGAGGAAAGGGAATGGGAGGGACGTAAGCTTTGACTGGACTCGGTGCCTTGGTAGTAGATGTTTCTATACTTTTTTCATTTTCAATTGAGAATTGTACAAATTTTCCTTCTATTGTAGCTTTATCAAATTTTTCCCGTTCATCTTTTCTTTATGATCTTTTTGCAATAATCTCTAGCGAATGTATCTCATCCTTTGTAGTTATAGCATAAATATTCTGCTCTATTGACTTCTTTTGAAGTCTTTGGAAAAATGGAAGTGGGGGTACATATGCTTTAATATTTACGGGGGCCTGAGGCAGATCATTTTCCACTACTCTTATTGCTATCATCCGCTTCTTAAAATTTGTCATTGTATTGCTTGGCAATGATCCCTATGGATGCATTGGAAGTTGTTGAGCTATTTGTTCAATCTACGTTTCCAACTTCTTGATAGATACTTGTTGATTTTGAAAATTAATATCAATATGTTGGAATACTTTTTCTGTGTTCTGTACATCTTAATAAATCATCTCCCCCAAACTTGGTCTTCACTCTTGTTGGAAATTATTCACTTATGTGTTGAAATTATGGGAACCATTTTGAATAAAATTTACTTATTCCTCCGAAGAAGTAAGCATCAATCAATTTTCTGTAACGTGACTTCTCCCACAATTCTTACAAACTAAACTGGACATCACTGCATTTGGTGTATGTGTTTGCAATTTTACAAGTAATTCTACCTGCTTTGTCAAAGCAGCAATTTGTGCATTAGTGGAGTTGTGATGTCTGATCCATACATTCCAGTTGCTTTCGGTGATACCACTCTTTTTGACGATAACATTGAATGTGTAGTGGCAATTAATTCAAACAAATATATGCATTGCTGCACTGATTTTCCTATGATCAATCAGCCAGCAAAGGAATCTACTTGAAATTTTGACAATGGAGAAAGTCCGGTATAGAAATACTGTACTTGATTTTCAATGGTGATCCCATGATTTGGACACTTCCTCATTAGCTCCTTGAACTTGTTTCATGTCTCGTGATAGCTCTCCCCATTTCTCTATTGGAAGGTATAAATTTTCAATCTGATTTTTGCTACCTTAGCCGGTGGAAAGAATTTGCTACAAAACTTTATAGTCAATAATCTCCATGTAGTAATGCTTCCACGAGGTTCGACATCTAACCACTCTAATGTAGCATCTCGCAACGTAAATGGAACTAACTGTAACTTGATAGCATCTTTATTAACCCCTGAAGCATGACAATTCTGACAATTCTTAACAAATCTGGAGGTATGTGTTTTTGGATTCTCGTGAGATAGCCCGTAGAATTTAGAGTATTAATTATCAAATTGATTCAATCTGTCCTTATCTAAAAATTGTTCATCCCAAAAAATTGGATACACTATATTGGAACGCATGGACGCTGCTACAGGCATCAAGAACATTGAAACTGATAAATCTCCTTCATTTATTTCCCCTCGTTCTTGC